ACCAGAGTGGCTGAATTGCAGGAGCTAAGGAGGATGAAAGCCTTAAGGAAGAACATCAAGCTGGCGCAGAGGAAAGCAATTCCATAGTTGGAACCTTCTTTCCAGATGATGTCAGGGTATCCTCCCACGCTGAAAATATCTTTCCGAGGGAGGGAACCCCAGTTATTAGGAAGAGACAGGCAGTAGTAATGGGGGATTTGATTATTAGAAATATAGATAGTTGGGTTTGTGATGACCAGGAGAACTGCATGGTGAATTGCCTACCAGGTGCAAAGATGGTGGACCTTTTGAAACATCTAGAAAGATATGCAGTGCTGGGGAGGATTGGTGGTCATGATAAACATAGGTAACAGTGACATGGGGAAAGGCAGAAGAGAGGGTCCAGAGACCAAATTCAAGCTGTTAGGAAAGGGCTTAAAGTCCAGGACCTCCATGGTAGCATTCTCTGAAATACTTCCAGTTACACACACAGAGCCACATACCCTGCAGTTCTGCCTCTCTCAATGTGTGGATGAGATGATGGTGTTTGGAGGAGGGATTTAAGGTTTATTAGGAACTGGGGACATTTTTGGAAAAGAAGGAGCCTGCATAGCTTTCTATGTACTTCATACCAGATTATACCTAATTTATGAAGTTTAAAATTTTGGTGTCTTGAAGTCTGATCCCCAATTTAGCAATCCAATGCCCCCCATGCCTCCCAACCCAATATTTGTATTTTGTTATTTCTGCTAAGACATTAGCAGAGAAACAATTAATATTTACATTTGAATTGCTATCATTGGATTTCAGAGTTAACAAAAACATAACTGTTTGTAGCTTCGAAAATTCAGGAAAACAACCCTGTTTTGGTTTATAGTCAGAAGATTTCTTGCAGCCATGAAAGCTGCAAACTTATTTTTTAATATGAAAATTTCAGTTCTGAATACAAATTTTGCAGCAGACAATGGATTCCACGGCATATCTGGAATTCTGGCTGTACCACCATAGATTGTTATTTGGATGATCTCAAACTAAGCAGGTTCAGGTTGTGTCAGTACTTATGTAAGAAACCTCCATGGAACTAGATGCTGGTGATTCAGTAAATGATAATCTCTTGACTGACTCAGTCCTGAACAAAAGCCCTCACACATTATACCAGAGGGCACAGCACAGCCAGAGTAGCTGTCTCTGGGATGTGGCATAAAACCTAACTTGACCTCATAAAGTTCACTAGAGAGCCCATGACACTTTTCAGAGTGTAGAGAAGTTCAGCATTTGGTTAGGACACCAAGGTTATTACATTCTGCCTACCTAAAAAATATTTCCTTGATCCAGATCCTAGATCCGACTAGATTTTTATTTTATAATTCCTTTCCTATGGCTGTGTATATTGCTGTTTAAACTGTATTTTTCACCTCAGAAGTGACTGTGAAAGCGGTCAGTAAGAATGATTGGTGAAGCAACTGTCATAGCATTTTAGAAGAAAGGTGCCCTAAATATAACAGATCATTTTTGCTACTACTAGATTGATGTCAAAAACTCAAGCCAGAGCCTTCAAATGTATAGTATTATATGTTGGCTTATTAAAATTAGTTCTGTTTAATGTGTTCATGCTGTTTTTAATAACGTACTTACTCATGAAAATACTGGGCATCCATATGCAGAGAACTTAGACATCTTTAAAAAAAAATTATATATATATATAAGTTCCCAAATATTTAATTTTCTTAGTTTCAGAAAATGCCCAGAGTTAACAATACTGAGATTCTTACAATTGCACATTTATGCCAGTAAAACAATGTTCCTTTTATTAAATTAATACAACAAAAAAAGTCATATTTCATATTTAAATTAATCCCTGCCTCTCCCAAATCCCAGCAAAGAAGAACACTGATTACACATTGGTTTGAATATTTATAATTCTACCATGTGATAAGCAACTAAAGCAAATCAATGAGCCACTTCAAAGGCTTTTTTTTCTTTTGAGGGAGAAGGGAGGAAAGAAAGGAAAAAAGGCAGCAATAGAACAAGCTAGAAAAATGTATAAAGCAATACGTCAAATACCTTTATATTTTTCTTCTGAGGACTGGGAATTTCAAAGTGTATACAAGTATAAACAGTCATGAAGAAAATCCTGTTTTAAAGACCATGTTTGAATAAAATTAGCTAGACTTTTTTTTAAATGCACATTTATTCTGAGTCATATTTCAGGACAAATGTAATTAGACAAATGATATTACAGCCAGCAGTAACTCCAGACAGTAATCTCTTAAGTGTCATCACACCGACTGAGGATTCTGCTGAAAATACTACTTTTAAAACATGCATCACAAGTAGTATCAAATTTTAAATTTCCTATCACTGCAGAATTCCAATATGCTTAAAGACTACAAAAAAAATTCCAAAGTAAACACAGAAGCTAGTTACAATTACCCTTCAACACCTGAGGCTCTGTTCTTGAGGCTACAGACTGGCATTCCTTTTAAAAATATCCATGAAAAGAACACACACCACCAACTTGAGAAATGTTTGCTAAACAATACATATCCAAAACAGTGGAACAGCACTTCATTAAAACTTTGTTAAATAATTTTCACCTATATTTCCACTACAGCTGTCAAGATTTTGCATTGTTTCTGGATTTGAATATTTTCAAATCATCTTCATAGTAAAATTTTCACCACATATTCCTAGGCTCTAATGGTTAACTTTACTGAAGTCAACAGTTACTTATCTTAGTAACATTAAGCAAGTGCACATTTAGAGGACTAGGAACATAGAGTCTGATCCTCCTGACCCTTATTTCCAAAGTCCAGTAAAACTAATGCCACAAGAAAGGATTGTTTTTGCGAGTAATACGGAGTTGCAGGATCAGACTTTTAATTTAAAAAATAAATAACCAACTTATTAGGTGGTCCACACCAGAAAACAAAACAGATACTGTAATGATTATGCCAAGGTCGTTTTAAGCATGCTTAAAATTCTCTTTAAAATTAAATTAGAGAGTGAGCAGTTTCCCTTACATAAAGGTCTCTATGTAATAAAGACAGTAGGGTGACCAGATGGACTGTCCCTATAAAATCGGGACAGTCCCGATATTTGGAACTTTTTCTTATATAGGTGCCAATTACCCTCCACCCCATCCCGATTTTTCGCACTTGCTCTCTGGTCACCCTAAATGACATTAGCGTTCAGATGAGGGTACAAGTACATAAAACCAAGCCTAATAAATTTTCACCCATAACTGGCAAGCAAGTTTTTTTATCAGTTAGTTTATTGAATATAAAAACATTGCCACATTAAATGGTTAAAATGCACCATCATAACATTCATGGGAAAATTACCAATGACAGACTAATAAAGTTATCCCCAGGGGGTGGAGGAAGAGAAAGAGAAAATCAGAGATGAGAATTAAGATAAAGCGAACAACCCAAACATTGCTAAAATTTAGGGGAACAGCGAGAATACTGAGCTCTGCATTTCCCATATCTCCTGCTCTCCACTTCCTACTGCTGTGCTATTGAAAAAGTGATGCTTTGCTATGCTTATGCTAATAAATCTAAATGAGTTTGCCATATGTATTCTTTCAACAATTTTTACAGATCACTCCATTTTCCTGTACCTCCATCTCCCAAAAACTGTACTATGAATCAGCCATAAAAATAGATCTTCAAAAATGTTTTAAAACCCTTCAAAGACTAAGATTTCAATCATAGGAGCAACCAGCAAGAACACTCAAAATGGTGACTAGCACTAATAAATCAGACACAAACCCACCATGAAAATTAAATCCAATCCCGCAATAGAGATGGTGGCAGACTAAGGCTTTTCTAATGTACAGCCATTTATCCTGAAGTAAAGACCTTCAAGTTATATGGATTTTTTTTCATCCAAAGTAAATTTTCCACTCAAAAGCTGCTAGTACTAATATGAGACACCAGCATTAAGGTTAGGAGAAAGTGCATTTTCATCTGTGACTGTTCCTAACAATGACAGATGGAGACAGAGTAAGGAACAAGGAGATGGTTAAGGCCAAAGGAAAGAGATACAGCCACAGAGGGAGGGGAAACAATATTAAGGGTGCAAGGCAGAGAAGAGGGGATAGGGCACACAAACAGAGGGCTATTGGGATATGGAAGTCATGGGGGAATATCGGTGTGGGGGGACAATATGAGGGGGACAGTGAGGCAGCATGGGATGGAGGCAGTGTAGGAAAGGGTATAGAGGAGCAAGATGTGATAGGACAACGTATGGAAGGGCACAGCTCAGGGAGCTGGACTGGAGTCCAATGAACTGGAGGCAGAAAGGCAACATGGGACTGGGACAGGACACAGACACATGGCGGGGGGAGAGGCAATGAAGCAGTGCACAGACATAGCCAGGGGAAGGTGAGTGGGGGGGGGAGGGAGAAAATGAGGTAGCCAGTACAGGGACGGGGGACAATGAGGCAGGGGTGACAGAGGCAGGGTGCAGACACATGGGATGACAAGGGGGGCAATGAGGCAGGAAGGATGGGGGCAGACTCCAGACACAGGAGAGGTGGCAGGGAATACTACAGCAGCAGGAACGAGGCAGGGCACACACACTGGGGAGGTGGCAGTGGGGGGATAATATGGCAGCAGGGACGGGACAGGGCACAGAATGTGGCGGGGGTCAATGAGGCAGCAGTAACGGGACAGGACGGAGACGCGGAGTGGGGGTAACACGGCAGCAGGAACGGGGCAGGACGCAGACGATGTGGCGGGGGTCAATGAGGCAGCAGGGACGGGGCAGGACGCAGACGATGTGGCGGGGGTCAATGAGGCAGCAGGGACGCAGATACAGGGTGGCGGGTGCGGGGAGGGGGGTAATACCGCAGCAAGGACGGGGCAGGACGCAGACACAGGGCGAAAGGCCGAGAGTTAAGGAGGCAGCAGGGCCGGGGCAGGAAGGCCAGCAGGAGGGGGGCGGCAGGCACGGCCCGGGGATGACAAGAACCAGGGGGCCGGGGCTGACCCACGGGGAGCCCCCGCCTCACTCACCCGTCTTTCCGCTTGGCTTTGTAGACGTGCCCGTAGGTGCCTCTCCCCACCTTGCAGCCCTCGTACTCGAACAGGTCCTCTACCCGCTCCCGCTCCCCGGTCAGCTTCACCTTGAAGTCATAGTCCATCTTCAGCGCCCACCGCCGGGACCCGCCGCCTCCGGCCGCCTCACAGCCCGCCGCGCCGCCGGACACCGCAGGGACCAGGGAGGAGGAGGAGGCCCCGCACCAGCGATACGGACCATCCAGGGGGAAGCCGGCAGGCGTGAGGGCAACTCCCTCCCCTCTCTCGCCCCGTCTCCTGCCGCTCCCTCCCCGCCTCAGCCAGGCAACGGCACAACAGCCGGTATTTCACCCGGAATACGGCAGCCCCGCTTCACCGCACTGTTGAAAAAGCGTCGCAAGCCGCTCTCACAGCGACGCCTCCCCAGCAGCCGCGATTAACGCACCACGTGGAATCTAGCCGGCTGAGAGCGCCCAGTCCAACTCCGGGGCCGGCGTGCATTGCGCCACCGGGGGGCTGGAGGAGGGGGTTTGCCTGCTGGGAGTTGTAGTACAGAATTTGTTAAGTGCCCCGCTTTGCATGCTGGGAGTTGTAGTCTGGGGGGTGAATTATAGCAGGAGATGTAATTGGAGTGGGGAGGAGCTAGGGTAGATCAAGGTGTAGTACTGGGGGTTTATTTAAGAGTGGTCACAGTGGAGCACTGCCTGCTAGGGCTGCAGTTTGGAAGGGTACAAGTAAGGACACATTTGGAGTATTGCATCCAGTTTTGGGCCCCCCACTACAGAAAGGATGTGGACAAATTGGAGAGTCTAGCGGAGCGCAATGAGAATGATTAGGGGGCTGGGGCACTTGACTTATAAGGAGAGGCTGAGGGAACTGGGCTTTTTCAGTCTAGAGATGAGTGAGGGGGGATTTGATAGCAGCCTTCAATTACCTGAAAGGGGGTTCCAAAGAGGATGGAGCTCGGCTGTTCTCATTGGTGTAGATGACAAAGCAAGGAGCAATGGTTTCAAGTTGCACTGGGGGAGGTCTAGGGTGGATATTAAGAAACACTATTTCACTAGGAGGGTGGTGGAGCACTGGACTGGGTTACCTAGGGAGGTGGTGGAATCTCCCTCCTTAGAGGTTTTTAAGGCCCAACTTGACAAAGCCCTGGCTGAGATGATTTAGATGGTGTTGGTCCTGCTTTGAGCAGAAGGTTGGACTAGATGACCTCCTGAGTTCTTGTCCAACCCTAATTGTCTATGATTTTTGTAAGGGGGGTTGCAGTGGGGTGCTGTACACTGGTGACTGTAGTTTGGAGGGTGGGGTCAAGGTGGGGCCCTGCAGGCTGGGGGGTAGGGACTGTAGTTTACAGGGGGAAAGGGATCATGGCCAGGTGTGCATGCCAGAGGCTTCAGTTTGGAAGGCAGGTCACAGTGAGGTGCTGCACGCTTAAGGCTGTAGTCTAAGAACCAAGCGCAAAGTGTCTCAGACATGTAGGCAGTGCACTGAAGTCTTGAGAGTGTAATCAAGTATTGGAATGTAGGAGTCATAGTCAGCAGGTCCTTGCTGGCCTGTTGTGGCTCCCTGGGCTCGCTGCCTATGCAGTGGCATGTGGGGCACAGAGCACTCCTCTGGCAGAGCCCAGGCCAGTGAGGAGTGGGCTGGGCAGTAATGCCCACATGCACACCCCATTTTTACTCGGAGCTCTGATCTGCAAGGCGGAGTCTATGGGGGCCTCAGAGATGGGGAAGAAGGTCTGCAGATTCAGGTTTGTGGATACTCTGGGATTTGGTGGGTGGGGCCTTTCCTAGTTTGCCTCCCCTTAAGGTTTGGGGAAGGGTCAGCAAGGAATTGGAGGAGTGCTGCAGGCTAGGGACAATAGGACGGCCCATGAATTCTGTTATGTGTAGGACTGGGCTCTAAGGACTTGTCTTCACTGCAAAATTAGATTGTGTGAGAGCACAACTTTGAGGAGTCATGTTAACTAGCATGATAAATTTGATTTTGCAGTCAGCATAGACAGGGTCGGGGGGCCATCATATTTAACATTGTCAGCTTAGTTATGGTTAACTAGGGTTTCAGTAGCATCTACCCCACACCAGCTGGGAAGATGTCAAACATGAATATTAATCATAAAGTCATATTTAACATTTTCATTCATACAATTCCTCAAGGTTGTATTCTAACACAACCTAAATTTTTTAATGAAGACAACCTCTATGTGTAAATGAATAGGTAAATTTGGACCACAGTCTCTGGTTTCAACCAAAAAAATGCAGCAGTATGCTCAGGGCCATCCCTAGCTATTCTGGGGCCCTACACAGTACCCCTATGGGGGTGGGGGCAGGGCTGGCTTGGGAGGCAGGGGGGGAAAACCACCTCCCAGCACTCACCGGCAACACAGCTGGGGCCAGGCTGCTGCACTTCCCACTGCCAGTGAGTGCAGGCCCATCCCTGCTGCAGTCCTCAGGGGTGGGAAGAGGCGGGGCTGGGCAGAGCAGGGCGTGGGCTTTGGGGAAGGGGTGGAATGGCGGTGGGGCAGAGGCTAGAGGGAAGAGGCGGAGCAGGGGCTGGAGCAGCACACAGCTGCGCAGAGCACCAGGAAAGTTGGTGCCCTACGCAGCTACGTACTTTGCATATGGGTAAGGATGGCCCTGAGTATGCTTAATCGCAAATCTGTGCCTTTTCGGCCAATGAAGGGCCATTTCCCAATTCCTTTACTCATGCTGAGTAGAAATTTACTTCACAGATAGCCTCTCATTCTACCGGCTTTGATGGGATTATGTAAATTCAGTAATATCAGAATATGGCAAATAGGCACTAGACCCAGTCTAGCCACTCTTCTGGCATTTCTACTGGTCATGCATATAATACTGTCCCCCCACATTTTATGTTTAGTATACGTGTTGGTTATAATGCATTTTGAAGTATAACTCAAGAGTTCAAAAAAAATCCATTAGACAACACTGGAGTCTATCCTTTAAAAAAAAAAAAAAACTCACTAGATTTTCTGTAACCTTCTGAAACCCTTCATTTTTAAGTTATCCAGGCATAAAGATGGGTTTTTGAAAACTAAGGAGCTGTAAAAGGAGACGAGTTAGGGCAGCTCTACACTTAAAGCTGCAGCAGCACAGCTACGCTGGTGTAGCACTTTACTGAAGATGCTACTACATCAACAGGAGAGTTCACATCAGCACAGTTAATCCACCTCTGCAAGAAGCGATAGCTATGTTAATGGGAGACGCTGACAGAGCACTGTCTATATCAGGAGTTAAGTTGGTATAACTACATTGCTTAGTGGATTTTTCATACACCTGAGCGATGTATTTATACCGATGTAAGTTTGTAGTATAGACCTTGACTAAAAATGCTTAGTACAGAAGGAAATGAACACAGATATAGGATCAAGAATAGAGTTCTGAGGATCTGCACCATGTCTTACTTATTTACACTAAAGCTGGAAACGCTTTCATGAGCCAATCATCATCGCAGGAGTCAAAGCTTTCTGTTTTTAATGTGGTTATGTTCTGACAAAGGATTAAAATCCAAAAGAATGTTTAGAATATTGTCTTCCTACAAATGTTTCTCTTGCATGAGTGTCATAGTAGTTGGAATATTTGTATCCAAATTGCCCAATCATCACTATAACCTTTGGGCTCTTTGCGCTGGTTTCCAGATGCTCATAATGGATAACACATAATGTGTTAACCCAAGGCTCAATGACCAGAGCACCAGTCTGGGACTCAGAAGACCTGGGCTCTGTTCCCGGGCCTGCTGGAGGACCATGGGCTAACTCCTTCATCTCTGTGCCTCAATTTCTGATCTGTAAAATGGAGCTAATGATATCAGTAGAGAGCTAAATTGGAAAGAATATCTTAATCTTTTTAACAATAAAAAATTGCTGCTGACATTTCAGGGTCACCTTTCAATTTTATTTGAGTACATATAGTTCATGGAAAAGACAAATTTCTGAAATAAACCACAGAAAAGTGTCAAGTGCAACAGAGTTCTACTAAGGACAAAAAAGGGGAGGGGGAAAAGGCGTTTTTGGCCCCATTTTTAAGGAGAGATGACTATGCTCCCAAAACTCAATGTCTAAAATGTTTTCTCTGAGGACATTGCTGCTTCCCTTGATTTACAAGGTTTTTTTATTTTGTCTCTACCACTTCTGTTTCTTTGTCTTCTCTCCTCCCTGCTGTCATTCATACATGGATTCAGCAAAGTATTAAAGACAGTGCTTAATTGTCTTGCTCAATTTAGGGCTTCATACCTCTTCTACTCCCATCCTTTGCCATTCTTCATAACCTCCTTCCCATGATCTTTTTACTCCAGGCTTGTACTGTGTTTTTCATCCCCACATTCTTTTTGTAAACCTCTTCCTATTACCTTCCTTGAAAGGCCAACACCTCTAAATAAAGCTAATTATCAAATGGAAGTGACTAATCTTAGCATTGATCATGGAATTAAGTGTATCAGTGGAGACAGGTACCAAAGTGAACAGTTTCTGTTCTGAGAACAGAGCAGGGAGGTCACAGGGAATTATCATTAACGACTTCTGAATGTAGGGAATTGTATTACAAGCACAAGTCCTGAAGCGTACAAGCCTGGCTGAGCTCTAGCAGCCTGTACATGCTAACTGTTGGAGTAGGACACTAAACAAAGAAGGATCTGAATTGTAGCAGTACTAGACACACACATTTTGAAAGACAGTAGGATGTTAAATGTGCTTAAGTATAGAGCAAATAACTCGGACAACCAACTACAACCCAACATTTAGCTTTCTGAGTTATTTCCTCTATTTTGCAGTCATTACAGATGGAGAAAATGAGAGAGGAGAAACAGTTTTAGACTCAACTAAAGTAGATCGCAGATGGGGATTTGTCTCACTTTTGGACTGTGGGGAGTTAACTCAGCTACATCTACACTACAGCTGGGATCGACGCTCTGAGATCAATCTACCAGCGGTCAATTTAGTGCGTCTGGTGAAGACCCGCCAAATCGACAGCAGATCACTCTCCAGTCGACCCCTGTACTCTACCCCCGACGAGAAGAGTATGGTGAGTTGATGGGAGAGTTTCTCCTGTTGACCCCCCCCACAGTGTAGACACTGTGGTAACTCGACTTAAGGTACGTCAACTCCAGCTACGTTATTCACATAGCCTAAGTCAACTTATGCTATGCAACTCCAGCTATGTCTACACTACTGCAATAAGTCAGAAGTACTGAAGCAGGAAGCAAGTGCAGTGCCACACACTTGGCAAGAAGAGGTGTGATAAGGCAGGTACGCCCTGTGACATTGCATCAACAAAGCACTGCTTCCCATAGACTTTAAGGCAGGGGTGGGCAAGCGACGGGCTGCAGGCCTGATCCAGCCTGCCAGCTGTTTTAAGCTGGCCCTTGAGCTCCCACTAGGGAGCGGGGTCTGGGGCTTGCCCCACTCCGGCACTCCAGCAGGGGAGCAGGGTTGGGGGCCCACTCCATGCTTCTTCCAGAAGCAGCAGCATGGCAC